AATTCTACGAATTGAGAAAGTAGATGTTATCTTTCATGACTTGTATGATGCAAATCGATTTTTAGTTTAAAAAATGTACGAATTCTATTTCGCTATGAAAGAGGAATGAATATTATTTCAAATATTTGAAGTAAATCATATGGTTGAATAAAGATTTATTAAAATGTGTGAAGTAATCACTGCTACTAGTGGGTCAGCTCTGTCACAACCAAGGAATTTGCACGGATCAGACAATCGAAAATTGGTGACTTGTAATGGACATACAAAAACTTTCAACCGCAAGAATATAAATATATCGGTAATCAGTCTCTATTAATCGTGTTGAAACAATAAATGTAATCGGAAAGACGGGTGAAAACTTCTTTGGACAGACAAGTGAGTTGGGTTTGGGCATCAGATGGGAGAGTCGTCTCGTTTTTGCTGCTCCCCATGAACCAACCGAGTGTTATGTTCAAGTGAACAATCATGATCAGTTGTCCTCACTGATTGCAATCAATTCCTTTCATCATCCTCCAAATTATCTCTTAATGTTCATTTCTAGAGATGACTTTCTAGTGTTATCAACTTGATACAGTAACTGCAGATGAAGGTGATGCAATGCCACACAATTAGTAACAGAAATTCCAAAAGCAAATTTCCATTACCATCAATAAACGTGCTAAGCCCAGTTACTTAAATTTCATGACGTGCTGCAATTACACTGTTTTTGATAATGCTTCACACATTTCTATAGTCTATGGAATTCTCTGGTTATATTTGTTTGGACTTCCTTGCTCTCTTAAGACCTAAAAGTGACACTATCCAGGATTCTTATTTTTACTTTCTAGCATAAGGATTTCTTGGCAAATTATTATTAATTAATGAAGCTTCAGAAATCTCTTCTTTTTATTTGTGACAATAGTGTGTTTCTTTTCTTTATTCATTAATGAATATTTCTGTATAGTCTGCCTAGAATGTGACGACAACTTGATTTACCAAGCTGCCACTTCATTGTGGTATAGCCTAACCTACGACATGCTTAAAAAAAAGGTCCTCGCAGTAAGCACTCCGGAAATTCCCGAGGTTTCTCGGATTCAATCCCGGATTTCCATAGTATTAGTCTGACGCTTTAACCATGTCAAAAAGGCGACCGTATGACCGAGCGGTCGTGGTAGCCTACCGCTCTGGGAGACCCGGGTTCGAATCCGAACGGGTCGAAAAATCCCCCAGAAATTTTTCAGGGGGTGGTCCATTCGGATATGTCGGACCCCTACCCTCACCTCCCGGCAGCCCCATCGTGGCCTGGCCGAACCCATAATGGGCTTGCAAAAAGAGGTCCCCCTAGTGCCCACAGGGCGGAGAGTTAAAAAAAAAAAGTCAAAATTCGACCCATTGCCGTCAATTATTTTTGATTTCGAAATGAAAACGCTCAAAACGTTAACAGTTCCATAAAACGACGTCTTTTGTTCACTCAATAAAAAGAAAAATAATTCGTTCAACAATCATAGATATTTCTATTGTTCTAAAACAATTCGCGTCGCATAACGACTCGTCCAAGTAGATAAATTCGTCAATTTTGGAAAAAAATCGGAGCTCTCTTCTGTTGTTTTCCGAAAAGCGATGAATTATGGAGAAGATTTCGGACATAATGACCGAGCTGACGCGTTAAGCGGTGACAATTTCCATCTGAATCGATTTCCAGATTATCGAGAAATACATTTCCAATACGAAGTTCTGAATGCGGAACAAATTATGGAGGACATGAACGAGTGCATCTCCGAGGTGAACTGTATAACTCGAATTCGACCCGTAATCACTCGAATACTTCTCAATCATCTTCGATGGGACAAAGATAAACTATACAACATCTTTTTCGAGGGAGATAAACAAAAACTATATGAAGAAACCAAGGTTTTCGATTACAGTCACAGTTCACCTGTTCGAAAACAGAAGTTCCATCCTAATTCACCACTTTCAACCTGCTTGATATGTTATGGCGATTATTCCGATTCCGAAATGGAAGAATCCGAATGCGGCCACAAATTCTGTTTGAACTGTTGGGAAGAATATCTGAGAACCAAAATACTAGCAGGGATGGCGGAAACGATCCGATGTGCCGGTCACCGATGCAATTCGTTAATAGACGACGACATGGTCCTCAAACTTTCGAGGGATATCAAGGTAAAAGAAAGATATCAGTACATGATTGCCGATAGCTTCGTGGAATGCAACCGCTTACTGAAATGGTGCCCTAGACCCGAATGCACCAACGCCATTAAAGTTCAGTACGTCGATTCGCAACCGGTCACGTGTACCTGTGGACACACATTTTGCTTTTCTTGCACCGAAGCCTGGCACGAGCCGGTCACTTGCGACCTGCTTCGGAAGTGGCAGAAGAAATGCGAAGACGACAGGCACACATCCAATTGGATCTCCAGCAACACCAAAGAGTGCCCCAAATGCAATGCCGTTATAGAAAAAGATGGCGGATGCAACCACATCGTATGCAAGAACCAGAACTGTAAAACTGAATTCTGTTGGACCTGCCTCGGACCGTGGGAACCACACGGTTCATCATGGTACAAATGCAATCGTTACGACGACGAAGTGGCGAAAACGGCCAGGAATGCTTTGGAGAAATCTCGAATGGGCTTGAAGAGATACCTGTTCCATTACAACCGTTACAACAATCACATGCAGAAAGTCAAACTGGAACAGAAATTACACCAGTCGATCGCCGAGAAAATGGAAGAAACGAAGGAAAGTATAACATTTATAGAAATGCGATTCTTGAAAGCAGCAGTGGACGTCCTTTACAAGTGTCGCCGCACTTTGATGTACACGTACGTTTTCGCTTACTACTTAAAGGAAAACAACCAAAGCCAAATATTCAAGGAAAATCAGAACGACTTGGAAATAGCCACCGAGAAACTATCCGAATATTTGGAAAAGAATTTGAGAGAAAATGTCATCTGTGAAGATCTCAAGAAACTCAAACTGGAAACACAAGACAAATCTCGGTACTGCGAAAAAAGACGAAAGGTGCTGATAGAACACGTTCACGAAGGTTACAAGAAGAAATGGTGGGAACGCTTCGAATGAAATTGCTTGCAGACTTTCGACATTTTTAATCAATTTCGTAGATTCTACGCTGAAAATATAATGGAAAAGCTTGCTTAACGAAAGAGCATTAAACCTTTTATAACTGTATTATCCTAAATCTTTACCAATAAATATTGATTTGGGTAAAATTCTTTTGTCGTTCTTGCTCTTTGTTGCATAATATAAATTGAGATTTATAAATCTGGTACTTTTTAAAAGTTTTGATTGAAGCAGAGCGTTAGCGAAGCCTCTTCTATATGGCTTCCAGAATTATGTTCGTTCTCAAAATTCGAAAGGATTTTGATAAAATGTTTCCATTTTCCATTAATTGCAAGGAGGAATTCTAAAATTATTTTTAAAAATCGGGGTTCATGATTCCTTTTTCGAGATACAATGGGGTCAGTGATAATGTTCTCTGACGCGATTCAGCGCGTATAACGGAAAATGGGCATGAAAACCAAACAAAACATAACAAATCATTCGACACTGATTGCTTTGTTCTTGGATCTCCTTTTTCTTTCCGGATCCACCTCAATTCTATCTTGATATAACAAACTTTCTTGATATCCTAGTAGATAAACAAATTATGGGGAGGAACGAAACAATGATTTCACTTAAACAAAAGCACTCGTCAGTCATGGTCTCTATACGTATATGTCAGCTGAACTATTCCTTCAATCTTAGCAGAAATCATTCACAATCCAGCATTTTCTATATTGAGAGCAATTTTAGTAGTAACAGAATTATAAGATAAAATTCTCTTTTCTTCAATGTTTCAAAGCAAACGATTTTTATTCTAGATTAGGTACTATAATATCATGCTTGTAATTCACATCTACTGAAACTGCAGCAGACAGAATTTCATGCATAGTTTACTACATATTTATTAAAATATTCAGTTTATAAAAATTAATAATTTATTTAAAGTATTAATAGCTAATGACCAGACTTATATTTTAATTAAAAACAGCAACTGATTTTTATTGAAAGTTGCACAATTATTTAAAAAATATTCTTTAGTATTATAGATAAATTCCTGAAACTAACATAATTAAATAAGAGAAATTTATTAAATATAATTTCATAATGAAAACTTAAGATAGAAACTATATTAAAAGTACCTGACATTAAAGTGTTCTTTTGAAAAATCCTGAAAATGTAAAGACAAATTTAGTTAGAATACTAGAAAATGTTTCTTTTTTGATCATTTATAAACTAATTTATATATTTCTATAGACTGAGCATGATATTACTTTCTATATTTCAGGATCATGTGAAATATTTAACATTAAATTTCTAAATTTAGCATAATTTAAATACTTTTATATTCTTGGAATATTTATAAATAATTATATAAACATGTTTCAATATAATTTATTATATCCAACATGTAACTTTTAACATTTATTAACAAATTATAATTTGTGTTCATAATAAGAGTGATCTTTTCTTTTAAATTTACCAAAATTTAGTTAATTTAAATGCCAAAGATGGACTAATCTATTGTTAAATACTAATTTTGTTTCAATTACAAATTATTATAGTGAGATGATCATCATCATTATTTATAAAATTTGGAAATATTTTAGCATAGTAATTGCTCAAATTCCACACTGAAAGGATTATTTTTACATATATACAAATTGAACATTGGTAATTTAAACTTTGTGAACTCAAGCTTCCTGTCGAATATCCATCCTTCAAGTGAAAATATGGCAAAATATTATATTAATAAATCAAGATTAATAATTATAAATTTAATAATAAGAATAAATTAGCATAATAAACAGACATGAAATTTGTTAGTGGTCTGTTTTTTCAGCTCTTCTCTAAAATACACACACTTGAAAAATAATAATTCACTAGATTCCACAAAATTGCATTTTATTTTTTCTTTTCCATACAACTGCTTTCAGATCTTAAGTTATATATATATATATATATTTATTTATATTTAGTTTTTTTTTTATTTTTTTATATATTTTTTTTTGGGAATCTTCAAGATAGGCAGAAATTGTCTGCATTTATCACAATGAATGTCAAGTTTCTTTGATTACTATCAACAGCTTCTTCTGTGGTGTCACGTACTTGGCAACATGTCTTTGTTACAAGACGTAACGGTGACTAGTAATAAGCTAATTTAATATAGTTTTTTTTTATTTTTTTCTTCCAATTTAATGGAAATCTTTGTACTATAGTACTGACTAAGACACAATAAATTGCTTAAGAAAAAAAAATGTTTCAAAGCAAAAAAATAAATATAAAATAAAATAATGAAACATCTGAAGAGAAATAATTATGATGATAACTGCTCTATGTGCAATAATTTCAAACCATTAATCTGAAATTTAAATCATATGTGCACTTAACTTACACTATAGAAGAAACTGTTGAAAGTTAAAACTTTAATCATGTGCAACACTTGCCTACGGGTATCTAACTCTTGTTACCAAGAGAAGAGGAAATTATTTTTGTTATCACAATATCAATTTATCTTAAACAATTTTGTTTAAAAGGTTTTTGTTAAAAATTACTGCAGGAAAAAAAATAATATATATGTTAATATATATATTTGCATGTGTTTATATTGACTAAAGTTATGGCAAATTGCAGCTTAACAATAGCATTTTGTTTTCTTCGCTGATTTTTAAAAAAATTTTTTAAACATGATAGATTAAAAAACTGAATTTCACAGAAGAAATTTCAAATAAAAAAGAAATGCACAGTCATAACAAATGTGGAATTAGCATGAATTAAAATATGTTTGTAAGAAGAGATCATTGTTGGGAATAGGGAAAAAAAATTCTCACATTTACATGATTGAATGAACTTTCAAGCGAGAATATTACATTCCATTATGTCAGTTGGGCTCCCAGGGCAACTAAGTGAGCCGACTTTTTTAATTTTATCAGAATAAAGAGATAACAAAGAAAACTTTTTATTTATAATATTACTGCGACTCAATTTCTATGTCTGTAAGTTCTGATTTGTGAAATGTATTTTCGCATAACTGATTATCATTCTCTATAATTCCTATGCATCTGGGTGTCTTGAAGCCATTTGTACCATCTGGTCCCTTGGGTAACCTCACAGCCACTACACGTGGATGATTACCATTGTTAGAAATGCTGCGGAGACGACTGATTAAACGTTCTGGTCTTTGGGCGGGTTGACTCTCTCTGTAAAAATATATTCCCATTAGAACAAACATTATATTAATTCATATTAATATAATAAAAAGTGAGAAAATTTTTCAAAGACATACCCTATTTTGACTACTCTACAAGCTGAATATTTTCCAGTTCGCTGATGATGTACTACCACAAATTCTACTTTGTCTCCTGGCTGAAGAGAAACACCACCCTTCACTTCAGACATGTGAAAGAATAATTTCTTTCCTTCTTCTGCTTCGTGAGACAAAAATCCAAAATTTCCTTTTATTGTTTCTACAGTTGCCTGGGGTAAAAATTACATTTAATTAAATTTAATATTTTGGCTCCGTGTATAATAATAAAATTTACCTGGAAGTAAGTTCTTATGGCACGGATATTAACAGCACGATGCTGTCCAGTACTTTTTACTATTCCTATCTGAAACTGAACCACATCCCCTTTCTGTAAAAATTCATGTTTGTCAGCAAGACTAGTGATACCAAATGGATATTTAGGACCTTCCTCCATGTTTTCTATTAAATAAAATCAATTTAAACTGTCATAAATACAATTACTATAGAATTATTTAATTGAAAATGGAAATTAAAATACCATCAACCGTCACTTGTATTAAGCCACAATATTCATCTTGCTCTGGATTAAAGCAACGTACTGGACGTATGATGATCCCATTTAATACTTCTGGTAATACTTCTTCATTTGGAATAGTTCCTGTTGACAACTTACGAACATTGTCAGCACTTAATTTTGATCCTTTGCATAATAATGAGTATTCTACTTCTTGGCCAATCTCCAATGAATTAATGTTACCCTCAAATACACTATGCCAAATAAATAATTTTATTTTATTGAAAACTTTAAGGATCTATTATAAGTAAAAGAAATATTTATAATAATATATTTTGATAGCTAACTTAATAATAAAAACTGATATAAGACATAGACAACTATAGCTTGATTTCTTTAAAAATAAGCTCAAACAATATTTTTATTTTTGTAATATTAAGTATTGAAATGTTGTTATCAGAATAAAGAGACAACAAAGAAAACTTTTTATTTATAATATTATTGCAACTCAATTTCTATGTCTGATTTATGAAATATATTTTCATGATTGATTATTGTTCTCTATAATTCCTATGCATCTGGGTGTCTTGAAGCCATTGTACCAGCCACTACCTTTTGAATTAACAATTAATAAATCAAACATAACATACTAAGTTTGTTTATTGTGTAAATAAGTTTTAAGATTTTTAGAGGTTAAGATAATTTTTTTAAAAAGTTTATACAAAATAAAATAATCAGGTCATATATATCAAACAATAGCTAATTCCATAAACTATGAGTTCAAAGAATACTCTATTCAACATAGTAGTCTTATATAATGCTCTAGTCAAATTCTGATTGATGCTTTGGCAATATTAAAATAAGAAACATAAAACACAAAATATAACTATTTTCTAAATTTTATATACNCCAAATTTATAAGCATAAATCTATTCTAAACAGCTCCAAAGATTTATTTTCACACTTCTGCTTATTAATAAATATTTTTGTATTCCAGGTCATCGGCAATGTTTGGAAAGAATTCTATTTAAGATAAAAAAAGAAAAGAAAACATGAACTTAAAAACACCTGTTAATTATCATACAATAGTTCTCATTACACTTAGCTTTTAATCCCCAGAATTAATTATTTATTCGACGAATTGAACGTTCTTAAAAAAGCCTTCATTCCAATTTATACTTTAGTTCTCATTTACTTTCCAATTCTTTATTTTGTTATTTTGTTCTGAGAATTATAAGATATAAATTAAATTTATGGTCCCATTTATAGACTTAACCAAAGACTCATTAATAGACTTATTCTGTCTAAATTTCTCCTCCTGTTTAGCACATTAAAAGATTATAGTATTAGTTTACAGATTTATTTCTTGTATCATTTATCTATTCTCCAATCTTTTCTAACATTAAGCAGTATTTCCAATTTTGTTATTGTCACATAATGCCTTCTAGATTAAGATTTAGAATTGCTTTAGAAGGTATAATCATAACTTATTTTTTTTTTGTTTTCATTAATTCTGATGGTGTTTTATTCTGTAAAGAAATTCACAGTATTCAATTCGCTAATGGCATTAACCTTTTTTTAAACCATAAACGAATGCAATGAATATTTCATTTATCATCATCATCATTCTCTTCAAGAAAATCACTTTTTAAAGTTCAAAGTTTCAAAAAAAAAGTAAAAACATTTCAAACAGGAAGACAAGAAATGCATTTAAATTGCTACCTTTTACGTATTCTTGTCTATCTGTTGGATTGCAGGTTAAAATTGAAAGAGAAAATTAAATTTATTTTTCAATTTTAAGATTACTCTATATTATCAATTCGGAATTTTAAATCTAATATAATAAATTGCTGAAATTGAGAATATGGACGGCGTGTCGTGATTTCTCAGCAATCTTAATTGAAAATTGCAATAATTTTAACTCTTTATATTGATTTAAACAATTTTTATATACAAGAAATTTTCACGATTCTTAATTAAAAATTCACTTCTTCTATATAATCATCATTCATATTTAACTATATCTATTTTATTACAGATAAATATCAATGACGAAGAGTAGAAAGTTGATTCTCTTCATACAATAGAAAACAGTTTGATTCAAAACATCAAGTATTTTCATTTTAAATTACTTTCATTACTTACATTTATACGCACGCATATATACATACTGTATATATGTTTCCAAATATCTAAAAAATAAATATTTATTTATTTATTTTTATTTTCTAACGTAAAGTTTTATAGTTAAAATTTGCAATGCACGTCTCTTAAGTATTGAAATCCAATTCCATGAATGTAAAACTTTAAAATTCTTTATCCAAATCCAAAAGATTCCGATTTTAGTTATTACAAAATAAGTCAAAAAAGGAGAATTTAAAAATTCTTATTCTCAATTTTTTGTTTCCATTATCCAACATTTTTTATAGAATAGAATTTCAGGAAAACACAGTTCTTTTAAAAATACTAACTTTTAAATTGTAAAATAAAATCAATACAAAACAAAAGAAAATATGAATTAAACACAAACAAAAACAGACTAATCAAAGTGTATTATTTAAGTAAATAAAATAAAAAATAAGTAGAATAAATAAAATCTATATAAACAATAAAGACAATTTCAAATGTAAGATATTAAACCATCGTTTCTTAATATAAAATTACAAACAAAAGTTTTTATTCTAATATGAATAATTTATTAAATTATTAATTTAATTAATAATCTGAATAGGGTATATATTTTTAATTAACAAGCATATATATAATAATAATAATTGCCAAGACTTAAAAAGGTAGGCATCATCTACTATACACCAGATAAAATATTACATATTGCATCTGTTCATCTATTATTATCCATTGTTATGATTATATTAATTCTAATTAATTAGTTTGCTCTAATCATCTACAATGATGATTAGAGAAAACTAATTAACTACTATTTGTAAATATTTAAAAGTGAAATTTTCTGATAATTTAGCCTTATGTAAATTAAATTTATTTCAAATATATTGTGAAGGATCAACTTTCACAATATATATGAAATAAATGAACTTCAATGATCATATTTTTGATATCCAGCAGCGTTTTATCACTAAATTGAATGCAGGTGTTTTGTTTTTGTATCTGGTATACATCTATACCTGGTATGTCCTAATACCTAAATAAAAGTGTAGCCACAAATTCTACTTTGTCTCCTGGCTGAAGAGAAACACCACCCTTCACTTCAGACATGTGAAAGAATAATTTCTTTCCTTCTTCTGCTTCGTGAGACAAAAATCCAAAATTTCCTTTTATTGTTTCTACAGTTGCCTGGGGTAAAAATTACATTTAATTAAATTTAATATTTTGGCTCCGTGTATAATAATAAAATTTACCTGGAAGTAAGTTCTTATGGCACGGATATTAACAGCACGATGCTGTCCAGTACTTTTTACTATTCCTATCTGAAACTGAACCACATCCCCTTTCTGTAAAAATTCATGTTTGTCAGCAAGACTAGTGATACCAAATGGATATTTAGGACCTTCCTCCATGTTTTCTATTAAATAAAATCAATTTAAACTGTCATAAATACAATTACTATAGAATTATTTAATTGAAAATGGAAATTAAAATACCATCAACCGTCACTTGTATTAAGCCACAATATTCATCTTGCTCTGGATTAAAGCAACGTACTGGACGTATGATGATCCCATTTAATACTTCTGGTAATACTTCTTCATTTGGAATAGTTCCTGTTGACAACTTACGAACATTGTCAGCACTTAATTTTGATCCTTTGCATAATAATGAGTATTCTACTTCTTGGCCAATCTCCAATGAATTAATGTTACCCTCAAATACACTATGCCAAATAAATAATTTTATTTTATTGAAAACTTTAAGAATCTATTATAAGTAAAAGAAATATTTATAATAATATATTTTGATAGCTAACTTAATAATAAAAACTGATATAAGACATAGACAACTATAGCTTGATTTCTTTAAAAATAAGCTCAAACAATATTTTTATTTTTGTAATATTAAGTATTGAAATGTTGTTATCAGAATAAAGAGACAACAAAGAAAACTTTTTATTTATAATATTATTGCAACTCAATTTCTATGTCTGATTTATGAAATATATTTTCATGATTGATTATTGTTCTCTATAATTCCTATGCATCTGGGTGTCTTGAAGCCATTGTACCAGCCACTACCTTTTGAATTAACAATTAATAAATCAAACATAACATACTAAGTTTGTTTATTGTGTAAATAAGTTTTAAGATTTTTAGAGGTTAAGATAATTTTTTTAAAAAGTTTATACAAAATAAAATAATCAGGTCATATATATCAAACAATAGCTAATTCCATAAACTATGAGTTCAAAGAATACTCTATTCAACATAGTAGTCTTATATAATGCTCTAGTCAAATTCTGATTGATGCTTTGGCAATATTAAAATAAGAAACATAAAACACAAAATATAACTATTTTCTAAATTTTATATACTTAACCTAGATTAAATATATATATATATATATAAATTATTATATTAAAATTTATAGTATAATCACATCATTAAAACAAATTTTTAAAATAGAAGAATGCACAATTTCATTTTGTATATGGGAAAAAATAGTAATAATTATTATAATGTACTTAAATAAATCAAAGCAACTAGACAATGAAAATCAAGCTTTATCAATATAAAAAGAACATTTACTTTAATGGAGAACCATATTTTTTAGTTGAAATAATTCTTGATGGCATTGAGATCATAATTAAATGAAAAAAGAAAAAAAAAAACTGATGTGGAACTGTCACTATCCAGAATGGAAAGAAAAAATTGCATATTTGTGACATAAAATTTTCATGATCATATACCATGGAAACAAATTTCAGCAAGAAAGATTAAAAGTATTATATTAATAATTGCTACATTTTTTGAAATTAAAACAGATATTTTTATTATACTTGTTTTCAGCCATTATATCTTTACAACTATATTTTGAATTATTGTTTTGTCTTTCCATACAAATATTTTCAGAGAATGATTAAAAAGTGACTAAAAAATTATAATATTGAAGAGACAGTCTCCCTTTAAATCTTAAATATATTATCAAACTCAATATAAAATATATTATCAAACTCAATATAAAATAAATTAATTCTTGAATGTAAATAAGTTATTTATTTTGTTACAAATAATTTCTTTTTATATTAATTCTAATTAATTAGTTTGCTCTAATCATCTACAATGATGATTAGAGAAAACTAATTAACTACTATTTGTAAATATTTAAAAGTGAAATTTTCTGATAATTTAGCCTTATGTAAATTAAATTTATTTCAAATATATTGTGAAGGATCAACTTTCACAATATATATGAAATAAATGAACTTCAATGATCATATTTTTGATATCCAGCAGCGTTTTATCACTAAATTGAATGCAGGTGTTTTGTTTTTGTATCTGGTATACATCTATACCTGGTATGTCCTAATACCTAAATAAAAGTGTAGTAAAACTCTTTCTTATCCAACTGCTCCCAAACAACATATACATAAATCAGGGGTGCACAACCTGCGGCCCCTTATCAATGTTTATGCGGCAGGGGACGATACAGGCCAAATCCCTTCTTTTGAAGTTTCTAAGTGTAGAACTTTTCCCTTTCACAAAGTCATTAGCACCCAACTGTTTTATAACCTTCCCTGAAGTGAAAAATGGGGAGTTGTTCTATAAATAAGTCTATTTCTAGCTAACGCTTTCTGGTTTAGATATTGAATATTTTAAGTCTAATACATAGTATTATAACGATTTTTTGAAGAATCAAATCAAATAAAATGATGTTAGAACGTCATTTCCGATGTTATCGGGAAGTTTCTATTTTGGTGGGAAATCTTCAATTTTATACTTTGGAAAACTTGCTTATTAGTCTAAATAGCGTCAAATAACAAAAATAAGTGAAAATAGCGCTGAAAAACCATGAAAATAACGATTTTTTAGCATTTGTTTACATTCTAGATTCTGATTGGTATAGTCGAATTTGAATCAATCTTTTCTGAAAAGACGCTTATTCGTCAACCTAATGTCATTCAAACTAGAAAAAACTAACCAGAGTTCAAAAAGGAATGTACAAAAAGCTATAAAACCAATAATTTACAACAATATCTCTCCATAGACAAAGAATAGAAAAAAAATTTTTCACATCAAATTTATTATTATTAAGTTGGACCAAGAAAATTAATACTGTAGTTGGAATAGAGTCATTACGACTAAAAGGAAGCCATTTGCATTAAAATATTTTGGATTTAATAATTATTACAAACCGCGTCAAGCCATAAACTTGTCAACAAAGAGGGTTGTAAAATGATTCCGTGTAGCTAGAAAGCTGCGGTTTTTTTTGTTTGAAAGAAAACAGATATATTTAGGTTATTTAAGTAGTAAATTAATTGGAACTTTTTATTTACTTTTATTTTTACATTCTTTTTTTCGTAAATTTAAAATTAAATTATTATTTTTAATTTTTCACCTTGCTGAAAAACCACCTTGGGGACAGGCAAAAGGAGTTAGTCCAGTATCATTGCATAATTCACCAACAGCAACTTTGTGCAAAGAAGCTGGGATTTGAACGTCTGCTGAAAGATGTCTATGATACTGTGAACTTAATCCGCCGTCATGGACTCAACCATCGACTCTTCACATCATTTCTTGAAGAAATAGATGCTGATTATGCTGACCTGCCCACGTATACTGAAGTTCGTTGGCTGAGCAAGGCAACAGTCCTCAAGAGATTTGTGGAGCTATTGGGGCCTATTATCACTTTCCTCAAAGAACGGGGGAACACTACAAGGAATTTGGAGGGACAAAGATGGCAGTGTGATTTAGCTTTCCTTGCTGACATTACTGCTTATCTAAACGACCTTAATTTGAGATTGCAGGGAAAGATGCAACTTGTTTCTCAGTTGACAAGTAACATCAATGCATTTATGACCAAACTATCACTTTTCAAGTCCCACATGCAATCAGAGAACTTTACACACTTTCCACATTGCAAGGCCATGAAAGAGAAATACCCACATATGAAGATGAATTACTCTGACCAAGTTAACACCCTCCTTACATCATTCAATGAGAGGTTTGGTGAATTCCAGAAATACAAGATCTACCTGCAACTTTTTTCAACTCCATCTGATGTGAAAGTGGAAGATGCCCCTCCAGATGTCCAATTTGAGTTGATAGACATCCAGTGCAGTGATGAATTGAAATCACAGTTCAAAAATTCTAATCTCCTCACATTCTACAAAGAACTGCCAGATACATCATTTCTAAAACTGAAAGACAATGCTCAATTTTGTACAAGCATGTTTGGCAGTACCTATGTATGTGAACAAGCATACATAGATACTGCCAAACAAGCTTGCAAGTTTTCACTTATGAATTTAAACAAGTGCAAAACATGGAACAGGTTAACCAACAAGAATTTGGAAAATCTGCTGGTTGTTTCAACATCTGCCATTACACCAGACATAAAGAAGATTGCCGCAAGCATCCAATCTCAGCCATCGCATTAATTGCTTGGAGGTCCGACCCCCAGTCAGTAAACTTAATCCTAATTTGGCCCTTCTTCACAAAAGGTTGTGCATCCCTGCATAAATATACATTATTTTTGACTCTCCATCCTATGGGCACTAATGGGTTTGACCAGACTCATAATGGGAGTGACTAGATGAAAATAGACTCACATGAAATTATTCCTGGGGTTGCCCACCTGGACACGATGTCGAGTCCTATTTAAATATTAAAAAAAGTAAAAATTACCTGCAATGAAAAAATATTTCTCGATCATGATCTTCAGTTTCAATAAAACCAAAACCATCCTTCAGTGCGGCTATAAACCCTCGATGAGTACACTTATACCCATTCATACTATTTCTGTCAATAATCTTTATATCAGTTGCTACCTGATTTGCATTAAATGATGTCAAAGTGAATTCAACCTGTAATAAAAAAAAAAAATCATATTACATGTAAAAAATATGAAAAATCATTAATTCAAAAGTTTGCATTTATGTTTACAGTTCTTACTTTATCTCCTAAATGAGGTTGACACTGATAATCACAATCTTTCAAATGATAATGAATATGTTTCTTTTTATTTTGCTCATTATAAACTATAATTCCTTCATTATTGCAATCACCATTACAACAAAAGTTGAATTCATTCTCTCCTGAACAACTTTTCCTATCATTAGATTTCATATCTTGAATATTTGCTTCTTTTTCTATTATTCCACAAAGTCTTTCAGACAAATGGTTTTTAGAATTACTTCCTGAATTATTTTTTACAGATCCTGGGGGCAATTTACGGATTCTGATTGCTTGGAAGCGATGATTTGATGAACATTCCTGGAAGAAGTTTTAGGAAAATTAATTTATATTGTATAAAACAATTTTTTTTTTCATTAATAAGATATAAATAAATTTATAATCCAAGTATAATGTATATTCATTTTCAATAATCGTACAACTTCCAAAATTTATAATTCATGTTTCATTAAATGCTTTACAAAACAAAGCTTTTGGCTTTGAGAATGTTTTTAACTAATAAATAATAATTTGAATGCTTTATGCATATATGTAAATTACTAGATTAGCATTTCCTTTATTAATAGAACCGAAAACAGGTATCAGATTTTAGCCTATCACAATTAAAACAAATAATGCCTTAATATATAAATTTAATCTGCAAACAATTTACATTAACATTGTCAATATATCAAATATATGGAAGAAATATTATTGCCAGATACAATACTACTAATAAAACATTGCTACATATTTATAACAGTTACTAATCAGGTAACAAAATGCTAATATAATGCATCATTTCCTTTTCCTTCTTTCTATAAATTAGGAAAATAAAAAAAAAACTATTATATTATTATTAAAATATACTCATTTAACAAATGTAGAACTAATAACTGTAGAATAACACAAGCATAAAAAAAATAATTAATGAAAAACAAACATTTTTAATTNTATAATGCATCATTTCCTTTTCCTTCTTTCTATAAATTAGGAAAATAAAAAAAAAACTATTATATTATTATTAAAATATACTCATTTAACAAATGTAGAACTAATAACTGTAGAATAACACAAGCATAAAAAAAATAATTAATGAAAAACAAACATTTTCAATTGCTTTTAGCAATCATCAACAGTTTGTAACTTGAAAATGATTGATAAAAGTAATTAAAAATGTTTTTTTTTCGTTAAATTTACATTCTTTGCTGAAGTTTTGGTTTTTATGCTTGTTATACTACATTAATTTTTTCAAACCAAAACAGAAACAGGAAAATATTTGGAATGAAGTTGGTTTATTGAATAACAGTTATACAAGTATCTATACAAACATTGCTAAACCCGATATAAAATATAGCTAAACACCAACCGTATGCCGAAAATCTTTCGGGCTAGTTTAAGGCTAATTACTAAATGAATTACATAACCAATTTGGCTCTAGAGGTAAGCGTTAGGCACCATCTCTTATTAACATTAATAATTATAACTAAATTAATTAATTTAAATAATTTAGAACCGCTGGGAGAAAAAAATCGGCCCGGAGCGGGACTCAAACCCACAACTCCTGCTTACTGTGCAGATGCGTTGCCAGTTACGCTATCTGGATCTAAATTATTTAAATTAATTAATTTATTTATAATTATTAATGTTAATAAAAGATGGCGCCTAACGCTTACCTCTAGAGCCAAATTGGTTATGTAATTCATTTAGTAATTAGCCTTAAACTAGCCCGAAAGATTTTCGGCATACGGTTGGTGTTTAGCTATACAAGTATCTAGGGAATTATGTAAGATACAACAGAATTATAAATCAGCCAAAAGTACATGGTTAGCGAGAAATAAGTTTCCCATTTCAGAGAGCTCTGGAGTGTGTGCTACTGTTTGAAATGAGACAAAATTTGGACTACAGCTAATTCAAATGATGTGCTTGATATTTATTAAATAATATAAAATAGTACAAAAATCCTTCAATAGGTGGTGCTGGAGGACAGAAATATTGAATATGGTGCACAATATCAATGTTGAATATGTAAGCACTAAAACTGCTCAATATGTCTGTCCTCCTTCCTTTTAGAACAATGGGCTCTAATCAAAAACCATACTAACCCCTATATTCACCAACGAGAGTTAAACAGAGAGTTGACGAACTCAAGTTTAGATGTAGATTACAAAGTCAGATTATGAGTTACTCTTCTTTCGTATTCANTTTCTCCCAGCGGTTCTAAATTATTTAAATTAATTAATTTATTTATAATTATTAATATTAATAAGAGATGGCACCTAACGCTTACCTCTAGTGCCAAATTAATTACGTAATTTATTTAGTAATTAGCCTTAAAACTAGCCCGATGGATTTACGGCATATGTTTGGTGATTAGCTATATTACATCGGGTTTAGCGATGTTTATATGTAAGCACTAAAACTGCTCAATATGTCTGTCCTCCTTCCTTTTAGAACAATGGGCTCTAATCACAAACCATACTAACCCCTATATTCACCAACGAGAGTTAAACAGAGAGTTGACGAACTCAAGTTTAGATGTAGATTACAAAGTCAGATTATGAGTTACTCTTCTTTCGTATTCAGATAAAAGTAGAACTCTAGAGTTTCACTACTCTAGAGTTAATGCTTTAAAACAATCCTGCGTTCAAGATTAAACAAGTCTTCTTTCGTAAGCAGAATCTTTATTGGTTGAAAGCAAACATGTGTAGAAAATGGCAGAAAGTGAAATGGAAAATAGTGCATGCCAAACTAAAATGTTCCTGTGGCATAAAAACGTAGAACCAACAACAGTTGTTCCATCGGTGACATCGGATAATTTTTCGATGATGTAGAAACTAAATTGTGACCAATTCGTTCTAGTATGTTTCTTAAACTCTCTTTTGGCAAACAATATCGACATAGAAAATCATAATCGTCCAATTGTTCAAGGTCATTTCTTCTTGGAAATAATTCGCCGATTTCTTCGTTCCGTACAATCTATTTAATCTAGATATTTCAGATTTACTAGCATCTTGGCTTCGTCCTAGTCAAACATTGCCGTTTTTCTTTGAAATAGATCGCTTTGCGCAAGCATGAAACCTAGAGTTATCGTCTACTCACCGATTTTCTAGAGTTAGAGTTAGGGTTATTGTGTTTGACTTGAGATTCAGAGTTGGTGAATACCAATTTACCAATAACTCGAGAGTTAACCCTAACTCTAACTCGCGTTGGTGAATACGGGGGTAAGACAGCATTTCACAGATGCACAAGTAATCAGCCATTATTTTTCTACAGCATGGCCTCCTTGCTCACTGGATATCACCTCCTTGTGACTTTTGGTTATGGGGTTTCCTGAAGGACAATGACTACTGTAGAAGACTTGCATCTGTGCTAGATCTGAAAGACAGCATTCAGCACCATGTTCTGGATATTCTGGCAAACTCACTGCGTTCAGCTGTGGAAAATAGGTTTTGCAATTAGAGCACATGGTTCAAAATGAAAGAAGACATACTGAGCAGTTTTAGTGCTACATATTCAACATTGATATGTGCACCATATTCAATATTTTTGTGCTATAGTGCCACCTATTGACGGATTTTTGTACTATTTTTTTATTTATTAAAGAAATATCAAGCACATCATTTGAATTATCTATAGTCCAAATTTTGTCTCATTTCAAGCAGTAGAGCACATTCCAGAGCTCTCTGAAGTGGGAAACTTATTTCTCGCTAGCCCTGAATTATCTAATCAAGTTAGGTATTCTTCAAGAATCATGAAGTCAAATTATTAAGTAATTAACTATAAATAGTTCATTAACAAGAGAAATGCTACACCGAAATAATATAAACTGAAATAAATTCCAATAATTGTAAAGTATTCTCAAATGTAAGATATCCACTGCAAAAACTATTTTCTTATTTCTGGGAATGTAATATACAGACCAATGATATTTCATACATTGCCTCATTTTTTGTTTAAGTTTGAAAAACTTATAAAGAGCACACTTTTTGATATCAAAAACTTGTGCAACTTGTGCATAAAGCCAATAATAATATCAGTTTTTAAATTAAAATTTTGATTATGTAAACAGGCAATTTTAAACAGCTGTCTTTTCACACTGTTAGCATTAATATATGGTTAATGGCGTGCAATCATCATCAATTATCGTCATCATAATTAAATGTTGCTTTAAATGTTAAATATTCATCACTTTAATCATTATTTGCTCACAATATAATAGTTTAACTTGCTAGTATTTCTTACTTCAATAATTTAATAATTGTTGTTAAAGGCAATAGCAGACAAACAATACTGAATGAACAACATATTGACTGATAAATCTTCAAGTTACACTAAACAATAAAAATATATTCTTATAATATTAGAGTTGATGGCTGGATAACAAAGACTGTTAAGACATCAGCTTACTGCTCTGGAGGACCCAGGATCAAATCCAGACGGGCAACCCCAGGAATTTTTCTTAGGTAGTCTACTTGGATACTCTGAGCATCATCCCCACCTAACTTAACCACTAAGTCATCCTCACCCACAACAAACATGATTAAAAATGCCTCATAATGTCCACAGACAAAGAAAAAAAGAAATAGAATTTACATTAATTATTACTTATTCCACTTAATATTAATTTAGAATTTACTTACTCCACTTAATATTATTATTATTATTATTATCAGTACAGACAAGTTCCAAAGTTATTACAATAAGTGGAACAAACAGATATTTTTTATTTTCTTTTAAAATAGATATTTTGGCATTTTATGAATTTCTTTTTATAAAGGAAAAATTATAATTATTTTTTCTAAAAATTTATTTTTCAGAATGATGTAGCAACTGCTAATAATTCATCTTACTAAATACCAGCTCATTACACGGGAAAAGAATGTTATTTTATATGGAAGTGTCTAATGATTACCTGGACAGAAACTAAGAGGATTTTTCAACTTTTGCTAATACATTGCAAAATACTTCATATATTGTAGCAGCAGCATTACCTTGAAATATTTTCTAATTCATGCATGTTATAGAATAAATTATTGCATTCACAACTTTAAATTTTTTAATTATTCAAAAACAATTATTCTATCATGTTTTTTCTGCTTTTTTAATAAGTGCATATATATTTAAAATAAAACCACTGATAAAATTTTGAATGTATAATAATGAGTTAAAAAATTAAATTTTTATTAAGATGAACTATAAGGTTTCTAAAATTATAATTTCTTGAAATGTTATTAACCCACAATTACATGCAATAGTGGTGATTTTCTGCACCTACTAGTTTTTTCAAGCATTTTTCACCAAATTAATTTACTTAGCTGTCCTTCCATAATATTCTCATGTAAAAATTTTCCTCCTCAAAAAAGTACTGCAAAAATTTGGTACTTTTGCATATATAATTGTGTACAATTTTTTAAATTGTCACATGACTGGATGTATTCATAATGATTTTCTATTCTAATGCCATTCTTAATGACTTGACATCATTAAAAATGATGTCATGGAGATCTCTCAAGATTGCTGCAAGAGAGTCAAAATACAATGAATATTTGTTAGCTATGCCTGACATAATGACCTCAAACACCTGTCTCCACATGACCTTCAACAATTTAAATGTTTTCATGGCTTTATTTCATACCTGAAAAATTCAGAAAGATCATTTTCTAGCTCTGAGAAACACCTCAGCCCCCATCATTCATTTCCAGTTAAACTTATTTCAAATTAGCCCATGCTATTGCAAAGTTTCAAAGTCTACTGGAGCCATAAAAAAAAAAAAAACATTGTTCTGTAAACAAAACAATATCTCAAAAACTTAACAACACAATGTTGAAATGTGGTACAGTACATGCAGAGATGACACATTACAGGAATTTTTTCAGAATCACCAAACTTGAGGAACAGCAATTACATACAGTGTAATTACGCATGAAAAATTAATAGAAAAAAAAATCTAACACCTTAAGCATGTACAAGTGTTAAAAAAAGGCAGATATGATCACAGGTTAATATCAGGCTGGTCTGCAAATAATTATGAAATGTTTTTCTAGTTTTCTAGTAACATAGGTTTCAATTTTTTAAAATGTGAAAAAATTTAAAAAATTGAAAATTATGTTACCAGAAAAATAACAAAACAGTATGACACATCAATTTAAAAAACCCAGTTTATCTAAATTTATACACAGTTTATGAAAACTGAAAATTATTGATTTATTGTGAAAAAATACCAAAATGAAGATTAAAAGAAAATAATTAATATAAATACCTGCATTACTGTAAATTCTACTTCATCTTGGACATTGAGTGTTTGAGTGGAATCCAAAAGTTCTGATGTTCGAAAGTAAACTCTTGAATCTTTATGCTCACATTTTATAAAACCATAATTTTCTTTCATTGCAACAATTACACCCTAATTTCACAAAAATGTGATATTTATTGAAAAATTCATTTTTAATAAATATAAAAATAGTCAAGTTAATAAGGCAATAATTGATTACTAGAGAACTGCATAAATGAAAAATTCATTTATTTGAATTTTTCATTTATGCAGTTCTGAAGTATTTGAAGTATTTGAGTTTTAATACTATTGAAAATGTATTCTGAGAGAATTATCAATCTGTAAAGAATCAAATAATGAAAAAACCAAACTTTTCATATGTTGTAATACTACATTTTTCTAAAATCATTGTAAATAAGGTCTAAGATTTTTCTAAAATTAATACTACTTTAAATTTTTATTTATAACTTCAATCATTTGTTAGTACAGTGGGTGATTGGTTAACAAACAATTTGGACTGCAAACAAATCAAACAACAAACACATGTTCAGATAAACACCTGAAAGAACAAACAATAAGTAGCAACGATGCATTTAAGATTTGTAAAACTAGGCCTATATTTTACTGGTATCTATGAATGGTTTAAGGAACAAGACTTTCACAGTTGTATATATAACCTTTTTTTGCATTAGCTGATTTTTGTAAGTGATTTTCTGAACTTTTTATTTTAAAAAACTGATATTATAGAATCTAAAAAAAGTGTAGTGTCAACAACTGTGTTCACTATAGAAACTTAGCAAGAAATAATAGCCAAGGTAGAGAGTGAGCAGAAGATGTCTAATGTTGCTAGGCAGTATGGCTTCAACAGGTCTAAAGTAGGCACAATCTTAGCTAAGAAAGATAATCAAAAAGGCTCAAGTAGATAAAAATGTAAGAAAAATCACATCTGAGAAAAAAAGATTGCCATCCATGAAAAAATGGTGAAATTGCTTTTAGTTTGTTATTACATGTAAATAAACATATTAAGAAATTACATAATAATTATTTTTTATTTGGAGTTGCCAGTACGAATTAATCAAATTCCCATAAAAATATATGGTAAATTAATAATAGGTTAACGAACAATTCGGGTAGCAAACATTGCCTTTGAATGAATTATATTCATTAACCGATCACCCACTGTATATAGTTCATTATTTTCATATTAAAACATCTTAATTCATGACATGTTATTCTAAAAGTTATTTTTTCTACATAAAAAAGATATACAGGTAAAACTTATGATAGTTTCTAAAAAAAAGTGAATCATTAACATATTTAAAAATTTAAGAATGTGTAAATACAGTAGAGCTTCATTTATCAGAATGAATTCCAGTCGACAAGTTTAAATTTTCGCCAGTGCTGTGGCGCTGTAATCTTTGGCTATGTCTTCGGCTACTCAAATATTTTACGTTTTTGATACTAAATTAACTTCTGAAGTATAATTTTTTATTGTTTTTATATTTTTCAATATATTTATTTTGTTTGTACAAAATTTTAAAAAATTTTTTAACGATACAATAGTCTTTGTTAGGCTTAACATTGATGAAAATTCAATACGAAGCGACACGCAACAAAGAAAAATTTCAACACGGGATAAATTAATAATTTTTTCGTACATAATTGGTTATCCGAAAAATAAGTTATCCAAACAACCCCAGTCCCCAATTGATTTGGATAAACGATGCTCTACTGTATTCACAAAATATTTTTCTATAATATGATTAACTTGTCATGTATTTATGTAATTTTAAGCAAGCATGAAAATACAAACTTAAATCAAGTAAATAAATTTGATGTTTAATTTTGAATTTCTTTAAATATTCAATTTTTGTTTAGAGTTTTGATTTATTTTTGAATTTTTTCTATATTCTTGAATTATAATTTATTCTTTTGTAAATAAATATCAATAGAAAATATTTTGATTTTAATTAACTCTTTATTTTAAATTTGTAATGTCTAAAAATGAATTACAGTAATACCTCGACTTACGCGAACCCAGAGTTACGCGATTTTCAAATCTCGTAGATTCGTCTTTTGTTTGAGAGCCACGCAACCCTTGATTACTCCCCCCCACACTATTGTTCAGCTTATATGTTTGGATGTGTCACGCGGAATCGACACATAGCTACAATTTATTTTGTGTTATTTATTTCTGTGTTTGTTATATCTATGGAAACTCGAGAGACTCTATGTGGTGATTTCTTGTAACCGTGAACGAATCGAAAGACGAGATAAGATTAACGAGAACATTTATTAGCTTACATACATCCGACTTGGATTTTACACAAATTGCGAAATTATACCCCGACTTACATGAATTTGACTTATGCGGTTATCGCTCAGTCCCACCTATCGCATAAGTTCGGGGTATCACTGTACATATTTTTTAAACATCCATACATCAAAAGAAAACCCAATAATACAAAATAATTAATGTTGCCTTGCTTGTAACTAATATTCTTAAAGCATAGAAAAACATTACTTTCATTACTATAATTTTTATTTTATGAAGTTTTTTTATACTCTTCCCATCCTATGATCACCCAGAGAATTGTATATTTATTAAATTTTTATTTATTTAGTTATCATATTTACAAAAGCATTGAATATGATTGAAAAACCTAAAACTGATTATGATATGCTAAAAAAACAAAAACAAAATACCTGTTCTCTCATCTCTCCTGACACAAGAAAACTTTCATCTAATAAATCAATATTTGTGGCATGTTGAAGTTTATCACGACGATCAGTAGCTATGTTAAACTGAACCCAATCTCCAACTTGAAGGGTAAAATCACCTTTTGTGTCTTTTTCACCAAAAGAAATTTCCATTTCCCTTTAAAAACAAAATCATATTTTATAATCCAATTGATTAAATAATATATATTTGAAATTTCTATATTATTTGTAATATATATTTGTCTAACATGACAATAGCTTATCTTATTTAAGACTATATATAATAAAAATAGAAATTACTTATTGTGACATTGTCACAATACTGGGCTGAAATTTTTTACTATATTTGAATTTAAATAAATATAATTTTCAATGCTAAATCTGAAAGTTTTTTCTCAATAATGATGTTATTTTTCATGTGACTTGTCACAGAAAAAGTGAGATCCTGTGAATATTGTACACCTTAGAGCATTGAATGATATATTACTGATTTCAGTTTACTGTAGAGATCAACTCTATACCAAATTTATTTCTCTATATAGTGAGGCAAAAAATTTTTAATTGAAGTTACATAATTTCTGGTCCATACTGGAAGCTCATATAAAGGTAACTAGGGCCTCCAGTCCCTAAGCTTTCCATGACTGGTCTGAATTTCATCTAACTCACTCCATTCTCAAGATTAATGAAGTACAGTTGGATGACAGTGAGAATGTATAGGTCTGCAGTTTGAAAATTGCAGCCTAATAATAATGCAATATACATCAGACATGGCCAATAAAATCAACTGCAGATATGGTGTATTAAAACACAAAGAATTTATAACTCCTATAAAATACATTTCTATATTTTTTACCATAAAATATTTTAATTATTGCTATGAGTTATTAAACACTATGCTATGGGACATGTGGTTATCTTTGTTTCTGACTGCAACACAGTGAAAAGAGTATGAAAACAAGAAATACAAGGAATGGAACATGCTCTTAGGTCATATTTAGGTAATGAGCAATAATGTACTGTCTTCAATTACTTATCTTATTCATAAAATGGATTTATCACACTAAAAATTATATTATTATCGTAACAGTAAACATAAATGTTCATGCTATTAAATAAATATTAATGGCACCGCATTCTTATCACGGTTTTGTTCGAAAATTATCATTCTCTGTATCAAAAGAATAAAGACCAAGATGACAGAACATGTGATGCATACAAGACCTTTGAGAATATCTTTTATAATTTGTAAAGCTAACATGACGCGTGACGTATTTGTTTCCATTAATCAAAGTTACTCTCATTTGCATCGAGAACTTTTATAAAACGTTTCGAAGCCTACGAAAGAAAATTTTTCTCTTCCTATTACTTATGCAAAACGTGTAGTAAATTCTTCAATTTAGTTTACGTCAAAATTAATAGAAATCGTTGTGTTAAAAANTTTTTCACTTAGAAGCATATGTCTGCAATAATAAATATGAACATACCTGCTATCACGACGATACCGAATTTTTCCAGACATAGGTTCAGGATGTCTTGTTTGTAATTTATCAAACATCTTAATAACATGACCCATTACTGTTTCTTTAGAGACATCATCAAATACAACAGTTCCTAATGGCAAATGGACAATATTTATTGCCACTTCTTTATTCTAAACAAAATAAATAATAAAATTTAACATAAATTTACACTTAAATAATTTTATTATTAAAATTACTAAAAATTATTAAAATATTGCTTAAAAATAGATAGCTGTCATAATATCAATATCAGTTTATAAATTATTTTTAAAACCAATATTGACCTAAAGTGATTAAAACAGTTTTCAATCCCACTTAAAATTGTACATGGTAATGTCATTTGACTGCAATATTAATAGTTACAATTTTAAAAATGGTAATATATATTATTAATAATAATGTAATAAGTAAAATGTAACCTTAAATATAAATAAATCTGTATTTTAGTCTCATCTACATAATTAACAAATATATGTAATGATTAATTCTTCTTCCTAAATTAATTTAAAGCTCATTCTCATTATATAATGTGCTATGCTTCTAGTCCTGAAGTCTACATACACTGAATTAATACAAAAGTTATAAAAAATTTCAGAATATTTTTGTATGTATACAATATTACAATTACCATTAAAGTTTTGCTGTAAGAAAGATTCTTTTTATATTATCTATAATCTATACATATTAATTAGGAAAAAACAATGGCTAGTTGATTGCTAGAAAGTTTTGGTATCAGAACCTTAACAGACCAAAGCATTTCAAAGAAGGTTAAATAAGCAATAAACCAGTTATAAACTGTGCTAAGACACAGTTTTCCGAATAATAATACATTAGGTTAATAAATAAATACTGTTCCAGTTTACTTAACAAACTAAAATTTTATATTTGAAAAGCAATACAATAAATTTCAATCTGTTATATATTCTTCAATATATACAACTTGTTCCCATTTAGACAGTTATTGTTAAGTTCTTTCTTGACAAATTTTGTGATTTTGAAGCAAAAACATTTTTTTACAAATTAATCAACCTCAATATCAATATGAAAATTTTATCCATTTAATGAACTTTAGAAGAACCTAGAGATGGATATCTGATGGAAGCAAGACCTAGAGCAGTGGTGCCCAAACTTTTCAACTGGTGAGTCAAATAGTGCATAAGTCACAGATAGACAAGCCACAAATATTTTATATATTCTACACATACAAAAAGTAGGCCCACTTCTACCATTTATAAATGATTTCTCAAATATGTTTGTGGACTGGATTTGGCCTAGGGACCATAGTTTGGGCATTACCAGTCTACAGAATGAGAAGGATAAAGTTACTCTGACCATGAAAACCAAAATTTTCTTGGGTTTTTCTAGATGTATGTGGTTGGGCATTGTTGCAATTGATAATGGCTTATTGCTTTCTTTGTAATTTTTCTTTCACTCCCCGTACTTGCTGTCATATACATCTGCTGCAATTGTTTTATTTTAATTTAATTTAAAAACTCAGAAGAAGTGATTCAGTAATTTTCTACAGCAGAACTTATCTATAAATCAATCAAATATGAAATACTAAGTTAAAATTGTGCAGGAAAACAACACAGATTGCATGAATTTCACTAATGTCCTCAAATAGTATTAGAAGATTGACGTTTATTTGAAAATTTTTATTGGTATAAATAATGTGATATGATAATTCTGTATCAGGAGCAGACTAGTAGTATATATTGTAAAGGAAGTAAAATATGGTAGGTAAAGCAAACTGGTTACACTTATACATAGTTATTTCCTCACTATAGAAGCCAAAAAACACATGAAAAAGTTTAACTACTACTTACATTCCTTATTTGTATAGTGAATTCTACATCATCACCCAAATTTAGGTTTTTAAAATCTTTACATTCACTTGAGTGAAAAAATATCTGAAAAGATAATGAGTGTAAAATTTTAATTTATCAAATTTTTAAAATATTTTAATATTTTCTACATAAATTTATTTTAAAAGTTATCACATATATAACAAAAATAATAATTTTCTTTCTGAGAGCAGTTTTTGCATGCTTTTTGTGTGTAAAATAAGTAATGGTAAGGAACTATTAGTCTTTTGATAAAAATTACAAAAACAAAACATTTAAAAATAATATTTATATTTTAAAACGTCTGATTTCAATTTTTTCCTTACAAAATGAAAGTAGCAAGTAAATTCTGCTGAAAAAAAGTTGTGATTTCTTCAAATTATGATTTTATTAATTAAATGTATGTATGAATAAATAAAACTAATAATTTTATAGTTATTGTAATTTCTTGTAAAAATTAATTTTCTACAAAATGTTTTCAATATATTCAAAACACATTACCAACACACAAATACTGACAAAGATACTAAACTTACAATTTTTGTATAAATAACATAATCATGCAAAATACAATATCAAGTCAGAAAGATAATTCAAAAAAGTGTATCATAACTGAACGTTGACAAAGATATTTTATGTATTTTTGGTTAATGTACAGGATCGTAGACCATCATGGCGGCTCTTCCTGTTTTAGCCTCGAAACCGGACCGCTTTGGAGACGACGTGTCACGTGACGACGCGAGCACCTGCGCGTCACGCCAGAGTCGGCGAATGAGTGCGGACAAAGGTGAGTAAAAAAAAATGTTATTTTGTTATTTTGGTTAAAGTCCAGATACGTACACTCATGGCGGCTGATCGCCGATTCCAGCAAAGACAAGAAAGCAAACAGTGGGGACGCACGTTCTAACCTAACCTAACCTATTCTAATAAATTACCATAATTATTACCGTTTATATTATTAGAATAGGTTAGGTTAGGTTAGGTTAGGTTAGGTTAGAACGTGCGTACCCACTGTTTGCTTTTGTTTGCTGGAATCAGCGCCGGCGCTGCCGCGGCGCAGCAGCCGCCGCCGTTCGCTCGCGTCGTCTCCAAAGCGGTCCGGTTTCGAGGCTAAAACAGGAAGAGCCGCCATGATGGTCTACGACCCTGGACATTAACCGTATTTTTATAATTACCTAATTGGAACTAATACACTTACATATACTTCAAATTAAGTGAATTAACAATAAAAAATATTCAGCTATCTTTAATCAGAGTTTAAGCTGAGAAAAAATTTTCTGTAGCATTTTAGCTAATTTTACTAAACAATGCTGCAGCAAAATTTTAGAAACCGTAGCTGACATTTCTCATCCATGAGGCTGCTCAGAACAATAAACAAGCTGCAATTTTAAATTTATTTAGTTCAAAATATATGCTCTTCACCTCAAATTAGTACTGTAGTGTCTTGCCCCTGTACGTTATATTTTTCCTTTGAGAACAGAGTCATGCCAAACATCTATTAATTGCTTTCAGGAAAAAGTTTTGAATTGAAATAATGTGACTTCTGGTTTACATTGGAAGTTTGTATATAGTTAATTGAGGCCTCCTGCCCCTAAGGTTTCCATAGCTAGTCTCGGATTTCATATATCTAACGCTGTTCTTGAGATTAAAGAAAGACAGACAGATAAACAACATTGGAAATTTATACATCTACAATATTTTTAAATTGCAGCCCAATTATTATTTAAACATTTGTTTATTCTCATAGTTACTGTACATTATTACAGTGTACTGAACTAACAATATAACAATAAATCTAATGTTACAACCCACAAGTATCATACATTATTAGACAATCATCCTTGTTTTGATTCACACTAGGCAACAAATACTGAATAAAAGTCAAATTCTCATCTTGGGGGCCATGTATGGAGATGTTTAACAAGTTGCTAAAATTTTATACATCAAGGCAATTTCCAATTGGAGTTTTTGTTAATGTCATCTCACTGAAACTTTTCACACTAAACAGTGTGCACTGGGTGTGAAAGAACAAATTCAATAACTGTTGATATATGAGAGTAATATGAGAGAATGTCATTTACAACTATTATTTGATAAACTTCAGCTGATGACATATCCTTACATCTGACAGCAACACAACTTTTAAACATATTCCACTCCATCAGAATTTTTTTTTTTAAACACAGTTTCTGACATAATTAAGTACAGTATTCATCAAAAAACAAACACAATTAAGTACTCGTTTATTGGAAACTTTTGTGTCTATAAAACAGAAAATACGTAACGCCCATACATGAGATGATGTCTGTCAAGGTTGACTTTTCTTTTGTGTAGTTAGAGTGACAAGAGATTGCACTCAATTGGTACTAATTGTCCCATTTTAGGAGAGAAAGAGTGATTTTAGGATTGCAACCTGGCGCTCAGTTTGGCGAGCAATTTTAAATCAAGGCTGACCAAACAAAAATATTTAATTTCAGCAAAACAGTTTACAATATAAATGAAATTATATTTTAATTGAATAATATATCAAATAAAATATTTTAATATTTATTATGCTTACTTATAATGATAAAATGCTTGAACAACTCCTTAGATATTTTTTCAGCAACACTTTAAATTTGTTTCAATAAATGTTTTTTACCCTTTTCACAGGTTTGCATCAGGTTTAAGATTTGCAATGTTTAACAGTTCAAATCTTTTTGTTAAACCTAACACAGACCCATAAAAAGGATTGAAAATGTTCATTTAAACAAATTAAAGTGTTGCTGAAAAAGTATTTAAGGTGTTGTTCAAGCTAAATTAGGTTCAACCTATATAAAAGTGTTTTTTAATGATAAAATGACTTTCCTATTATAACTAACTATTAAAGTTTTTGTTAGGATTCACAAATGATGATGTAATACATTAAATTTTCAAATGTGTTTTGTGCAATTCTAAGTAAAAATAATTTTTCTCACTAAATTTACCACTGCTTTGATTTTTAAAAATTGATTTTTCAAGATAAATCAGTATAGTCATTCGTTTGATTCTTCTTTTCCTTAAATAAATACACACAACTGTGCATTTAGGAAAACCAGGCTCAAGTGAATAAACTCAAAACTTGGTTAACTCATAATTATGATGATATTTGTTTGGCTCGTTGAATCATTTTCCAAACCTCATTTAGTGTTAAATACAATGGAATTACAGCATTTACAAGACATGCCAATTGCAAGAAGCATTAAAAAAAGAAATGCATCTTCTCATTACCTCTCCCCTCCCCATTGCATTGGCCAACAAAACAGTTTTCAAAGATGACGTTAGATGACACAATGGGATTTTTTTTTTTTTTGAGTAAAAAAAATTAGCTAGAATTTGTTTGGAGGGTAGTGTTGCAACATTAATTTTATCTGAAATAAGATTACAAATTTATTTTCTATTACACAATAAAATGCGTATCTACATACAAATGGAAAATATTTGGGTTTCTTTCAAGATTGATTCTGGATTTCTCAATCACTTCCATTCTCAAACATAATGTTTATTAATTAATGAGTGTATCATGCTCATAATGTAAACCATTATTTTTCTAAACTAAAATAAACTTTAGAAAGTATTCAAAAGAATCAGAATAAATTTTGGTATTGTCCCATCACTAGTTAAAACATCTTAAAAACTAATGTTAAGATGCTTTAACCACTTGGAAAACAGTTTTTTTAGCAAAATGTACCAAGAAAGTTGTCACTAAATCTAAATTCTTGTAGCATTTCAGCAAAAAAATGTTAGCAATAGTTTAAATGCTGTTTAATATTTGTATTATTTAATTTTCCTAAAACTAATGTAATAATTATAGTTTATTTAAAGTAATATTTTTACTTTTCTATATATAATATTTACTTTAAAACAATGTTGATAATTTTCTTCAATTATGAAAGTTGAAAATTATGTCAAAAATTTATAGGAACAAATGTATGTAACAATTACATCACTAATTAAAAAGTAATGTACATGTATATATTTATATTAAAATTACAAGTTAAATATTTAATTATTCAATTATAATACAAACCTCTTTAACAACATCAGCTCTTTCTATAAAACCAAACGTTTCTTTTAAACCACAAATTACACCCTGATATCTTCTTGGTTGAGCTATTTCAAGAACAATGTTTCTTGCCCTCAAATTTCCAGAACATTTATCAGTAGCAATTTGAAATGTCACTTTATCTCCTGGATTTAGATGAGTATCAGATCTTTCTAAATCATCTTTTGTATAAGGAAGAAAGAAACATTCACCACGACTTTCATAGGCAACCCGTCCCTATTAAAAACAATTTATAAAAATACATTAATAAAATATACATTGCATTTACATTAAAATAAATTTAATTCATAATAAACAATAAAAATCTTTTTTAACAAACATTATGTTACAAAGTCAAAGTTTTGGGTGAATTGATATTTAAGTTTTTTAATGTAATTATTTCAGTATAAATATATTCATGAAAGAGTATTGCAGAGTGTAATAATGTATATAGAAATTTTCCTTTAATATCACATCTGAATACATATTAATAGATCAAAAATCTAATTTTACAAAAAATTATTTTGTACCAGTAATGATTTTAAAAAAACATTAAAAAAATAATAATAATAAAAATACAAGTATATAGAGAAATACATTCAAAATACATAAAAAATGTAAAGTTCAAAACAATTTCAGTTATTAGTCCAAAACTTAATTCATTTTTACTTATTAATTTGCAACTAATTTATATTCAACCTGCAACTGTATGCAGTTTTATTTATTTATTTTTACAGAATTGCCTGCCTAGGGTGTCAATTTTCCACTGATTTTTCACCTGTAATTATGATGCATGTAACTGCTGTTCCTCAAATTTGATGATTTTGAAAATCCTGTAATGTCCTCTCTCTGCACTGCACATGCCAAATTTCAATGTCATATGTTATTTAGTTTGAAATAGTGTTTTGTTTACAGAACAGTGTCTTTTCAAGGGCTCCTGTAGACAGATCTTGAAACTTTGCAATAGCAAAGTTTCAAGAGCTGTTTGGCAAAGCTGAGTTAAGTTTGGCAAAAATGAGTTAAGCTGAAACTTAATTCTCATGCTGGACAATTTCACTATCACAGATGATAGTTAAGTTGCTGAGTGAGAAGTGACAGGAGAACAGTAAGACTAATAGGAACACTGGTAGGACCAAGGAGGAATGTCAAAAGAATCTGACATTCAAAATGTATTTCAAGTAAACCAGAGATTCAGAATATGAACTATTAACAAAAAACAAAAAATAAAGGCATAATAGGCAAAAATTCAATTGACTTTATTGTGATAATTAAGCTGCAATTCTTGTTTTTAGTTTAATGCTTTCAAACAAATACTCCATATAGAGAGACTTTTACTTTATAATTATGTATAATTTTATTTGAAAACTATTGGTTAAACTATCAACTGAAAAACATGATTTATCAATAACATAAAAATAAAATAAATAGATTTTTTAGAATTTATGTAACTTTTTTATATATAAACTGATTATAATTAACAACAAACTACAATGTTCAAGTAAACAATGAAAAGTGTTTACTCACCTCCCAGCTTCAAATGTTCAATATTTCCAGAAAACTGGCTATAATGGAAGAATAATCTAGCTTGTCGTTCACAACATTGAATAAAGCCATATGAATGCTGTAATAAAAATATTAAATAAACAATTAAGCACTAAAAATTCAATTTAAGTGAGCTTAATTTACTTTTCTTTACTGAAATTATTATTCCAATAAAGAAAATTAATTTAATGCTTTACCAAAAGTTTTTCAACAATTCCCGCTTCACGTAATCCACTTGATGTTCCTGATGGAGGCGATGAGTTCTTATTGATGTTGTTGTTTCCATTATTTGATGTTTGACTAAAAGAAGAGCACTGGTAGGCATGTATTGCACTGTCTTGTAGTGACGGCTGGAAATTCTATAATATATATAAAATAATTATATTCAATTAAAAAGCTTTATGTATGTTTTTAATAGCTATTTCATATTTAAAAATAATAATTTAGAACAGTGATTCTGAAACTTTTTTGTGCCACCACTCCCCTGGTTCCATAAAGTTATACCCAACACCCCAACCATTTTCCCTTGCACGAGAAAGACTTGGGAATATTCTTAAAAAAACTTTGCTACAAACCTCACACTTTATGTCCTTACCGTACAGTACATTGTTCTCCTTACCTGAAACCATTAAAATGTTTCTTCTTACCTGTTTTAATGAAGGAAAGGGAAAGGCTGCCAATGACCTAAAGCATTGCATATGGTCATCAATCAGTCAGGACCCAACCTTCAGTGACCCCTTGCCTTTTTTTACCCCCTAGATTTACTCACCACCCCAAGACTGGTAACATCACTTTGAGAGCCACAGATTTAGAATATTAGTTTCTCATGTTCATATGTACTGGTTGTTTGTTAAGTTACAACAACACAACACTTGGGCAATCTGCCTAGGGAAAATACCTTCTGAGAAGTCTTGTTATGGGTAACTGGCCCCTATTCAAGGGTGTGGAGAAAACCCAGTAAACTCCATGTGACCAACCTGTCCAGGTGAGGCATGAACCCACAACCGAACTTCTGATGTTCAGAAAATGGAACTGCTTGGCCATTGGTGAGTCCTAATATGTACTCTACATAAAGTATTAATGACAAAGTTCATTACTGAAATATTACAGAAAAACATTGGTAATAAGTTTTGTGAGAGCCGAAATTGGTGAGATATTTTGTTTAAATATTGTTTGTCAAGAGAAAAAGTTAGAGAGACAAAACAAAAAACGAAAATGTTAAAGTCAATTAAAACTGGTTCCCACAAACTTACTTCCTTGTTGAAGGTGACACATTGGATATCTCATCCGGAACCAACAAGTTAAAAATTGACTATTGGTCCCAATATACTAAAATTCCTAACCAAGTCATGGGAAAAACCCAGGAGGGGCTCCCTAATAAAAAGGAGGGGTGATGACAATCAGCAGCAGCCATCATCCAGTTTTTTCTTGAACTGTGTGTGTCCAGCCACTTGTCATCACCGCTGCCATTGCACTCGAGAATCTGTCATCGCTCAAGAGAAATCGTTGCTGCTTCAGAAAAAAGTGACTCCCTACGCCCTGAAAGTTTCGAACGGATCTTCAATTTCTATGAACTCTTAAGGTATTTATCAACATGTAAATGATTGTAAGCTCTCTCTCTCTCACAGTCAGGTCATGATCGTAATAATAAGGTTCCTGGTGGGTTATTCGGAAAGTAATTTCGTTTTTTTTTATTAATAGAGGAATTAGATGTATTTTACCAGCCAATTTCATTTTAAACCATATTTTTTATTATATATTTTGACAGCTGACATTTTAAGGCTTATTTGTAAAAACTTGTTTGATTCTGTACAATATTTTTTTTCTGGTGTCCCATCAAATATGGAAAATCAAAAGCATCATTTTTGGCATATTTTGCTTTATTATTACCAAAAAATCAAATGCTGTTCAAACAAGAAAAAACTTGTGGTACATATATGGAGATGATGTGTTGAGAGAAAGACAGTGCCAAAACTGGTTTACAAAATTTCGTTCTGGCAATTTCAATATTGAAGATACACCACGTTCTGGATGGCCAGTGAAAACAAAATAAAGGTACTGATTGAAGCAAACTGCCAAATAACAGCATGTGAAATCACTAAGATTAAATTTGTCGAATTGAACTGTTTATGATTACTTGAAACGAATTGGTTTTGTTTCAAAGCTCAATATATGGGTTCCACATGCTCTTAAAGAGAGATACTCTCTTTGGTGGGATTTTAAGAAAAATTTTTTTTGAGCTTTTACCAGACAATTTAACAATTGATTCGAAAGTGTACTGCCATCAAGTAAACAAATTGAGTAATATCATCAAACAGAAAAGGCAGCCTGAATTGATCAACAAAACAGTAGTAGTATTTTACCATGATAATGTCAAATTTCACACAAGTTTGGTAACATGTCAGAAACTGTTATAGCATAATTACAACAACTGGCCTCCCTCTAACTTCATTTGTCTGTTCAGGCACAAGGACACCTACAGTGCCTTCTGTAACCTTGTAAACATGTACTTTAAATGAACTACCGTGCCTACCTAAATCTAGTGCTCTTCTGAGCCTAACCTCCTCTATTTATATGCGTTTGTATGTATTGGACTTGCCATTTCTACCAGCATGTCCACGTTGTTTTGATGTTTGTACAAGGGCCTGCGTGCCCACGTTTAGTTCTACTGTACATATACCCTTTCTGATTGTGTAAACGCATTTGCTTTATTTTTGGTACTGTACATGACAAGCATCATATTCACTATTGTTATTTACTCTACATTATGTATTTTGCATTCAATTATTTTGTATGCATTTTATTTATCTCAATTCTGAAACTTGTACTTTTGGCATCTATTAGTTTGTCTTAGTCACTTATCTCCAACAGCTTGTTTTTACGGTATTTGTCCTCTCACCAATTTTCTTTGTAAACTGTATTCATTGTCGCGACTCACCCAGTTGTATGTAAATGGTACCGGGAATGTACCTTTGGTATATTATCAATAAAAAATATCTGTATCTGTCTGTAAAATATCTGTTACAGCTCAGATGGGATGTGCTATCACACCAACCATATTTGCCAGATCAGGCACCTCAGATTATTACTTGTTCCAGTCTTTATAAAATTTTTTAAACTGTAAGACGTTTACTTGAAATGAAAATGTCACAAATTACTTGGATCCGTTTTTTGTAAGCAAACATCAAAACTTTTATAAACGTGGAATTATTCTACTACCAGAATGAAGGCAACATGTATTTGACCAAAATAGTCATAATATAATTCAATAAGATATTTATCATAAAAATATTTTTTAATATATATATATATATATATATATATAATTACCATATACTATTTTTCTACTAATCGCGTGTTATTTTGTATAATTACAATTCACAAGATCGCAAGAATGACATCTAGGTA